GTCGAACCGCCTTCCACGCGGGTCCTCTTCCTCTGCGTCAAAACGGTGCTGGGGTCAATCTCCTCGACCTCTGGATCTGACGCTGCTCCCGAGCTCGACGTCGAATCCACCCTCACCGGCTGAGGAGCGTTCAGACTTGGTGGTGGTCCCATTCTCGTCGTCTGCGGGGCCTTTACGACCCTCCTGCCTCGCTTCTGGTCGGTTGATAATTTCAGGAGCCTTTCATGTCGGCTAGCCATCGTACCTGCACGAAATAAAGGAAAAGTCAGTATCGAGTAAACTGCATGAATAAATGACGAATAAAAGAATTTCAAGCGAACAACCTAACAGGCGGGCAGCCTGCCTATATGTCGGACATTCCACCAGCGCCTTGGTGTCGATCGGGCGAGACTCGAACGTCGGGTAACCGTCTTTGTCGAGGATATCATCCCCTTCCCGCGTAACCCATCGGGCGGGGTGAAAACTGTCGACAAAGTTGCAAAGAGCCTCGTACGCCCGCTGATCTTCCGTGCACATGTCCCCGACAGCGGTATGGAAATAACCTGTCCCATGATCGTAATGTCGGGACATCCAGTACACCGGGAACTTAGCCCTACGACCTAACACGGGGCTCCCGTCGTCGGCCACCATCGCTTCCCCATCATCGTCGCTCACTGGCCCTTCCTCCTCGAAGAGGGAATCTACAGCAGAGTCGGTAATAGGGCGTACCACATACCACTTGTCCTTGAACCCCCTCACGGAGTCCATATACATCTTAAACAGTCTCCTCGACTGCTTCAGGGACACCCAGCTGTGCTTCCCTCCTCGGGACTGACGCTGCAGGTGAAATACCCGAAAGAAAAGAGGGATGGTCGCCCCTATCCTTAAGTAGCGACACGTCAGCTCAAACGCCCGGATGAAGGCGAGAGAGTTTGGGTGTAGCTAGGACGGGGCCAGCTCCAAATGCATAAAGACCCCGGCCTGAAAATCTGTGAACGGCAGCCGCAGCCCTAAGTCTTTAAACGCGATCTCATACATCGCGAGGCTGTAGTTCGGATACACCGAGCAAATTCTTGCATTGGTCGACGGAAGCATGACCACGAAGTTCTGCTGGAAGTCGGGCTGGTCTTGACCCTCTTCAATAACAGTGAATGGATGTCGGTCATCCCGGCTATATATCGACGCTGTCCCCCGCGGCTCGACACCCACCCATTCCAGCAATGGGTCGGTCACTGTATCTATCAGGGTGGCCGACTCATCGGCACTCTGTTCTTCGCGATCACGACGTCCGGAGGAGCTCGGCTCGTCCGCCATGGTTACCTGCAGAGCACGGGAAACCAATCAGTTGAGCACGAAGTCCTACGCTCGACATAATCATGTCGTCCCATACATGACTTCACAAGTCCCTTTTCACAAGTGGATGTCTCCCCGACTCTCCCGAACCCAGTGTTCTTCCTCAAAACCATCTGCGCGGCCACTCTTCAAACATGTCGACCCGAGGTATGAACATGGCGAGCCGCACTATGAAGCCCACGGCCACGACCATAAACATACCGGGCACCGTCATGAATCAGGCGCCCCGGATCATGAAGACCCCAGGCAGCTCTGAAGTTTTTCACCTAAAACTACGAATATGTCGGCCACAAATATGCGTTTGCCGGTCCTAGACATGAATCTGTCGGGCAAAACGCGAATTTACCAGGCTAATCCCGCGCGCACGATCCTAAAACATCTACAAATTCCAGGAATCATGCATTCTAAACGGAAAAATGAAGAAAGTAGATCACTTACTTGGATCGAAGTGTGGGATTTGGCTGAGAAGTGGAAGAGTCTGAGACGGGAAGTCGCAACTGGAGAAAGTATTGAGAGCGGCAACGAAGAGAGCACGGAGAACGGAAAACGTGTTATGGGACCCAAGGATCCTATTTATAGTGATGACGTGGAATACCAAACGTCACCTCGTTCAACCACGGACTCCGTCTCCTCGACGCGCTGCTCCCAACGCAATGATGGCCCTACCCCCCTAGGGTGGCGGCACGCCTCCCGAAAGATGCCTCGTGTGCTCGACCGACGCGCCCGGTACGGATCCTCCACGCATCCACCACCGAGGACGTCTCCGAGCACGACACGAGGAGGCCCCTCGAGGGCCCACAACTCCATCCCGGGCACGAGACCTCAACGACGGAACAACTTGGTTTCAAGTCATGGCTCCTCGCAAAGGAACCACGACTTGGGGGGCTCCTGTTCTGGACTGGGCCCGACAGGCCCAAAAGCATTACTAAGGCCCAGTCCAAAGGGACACACTAAGGACCACACTGGGCAAAGGGGGTCACGTCCGTGCCCGACACCCTGATGTCCACCTCGACATCCCGATGTCCAACCCACGCGGTGAAGTCGGGCTCGACACCCTGCCGTCAGCTCCATGTCCTGGCGTCCAGCTCGACACCCGCCGTCCAGCTCGAGGTCCTGGCGTCGAGCTCAGCACCGTGCTGCCCAGCTCGACATGGTCTCGAGCTACCCGGCTAGGGCAGACTCAGTCCACCGTTCCCCCAACGATACTCCGGGAAGACCGCGTCTCCGTCCGCCCGCATTTCACGCAGCACATCCAGGAAGGGGACCACGTGCAGGTCCCCACTACCCACGTAGAACCTGGCAGTTCCTCCATTGGGCCAAATCCGCCCGGCCCAATGAAGGAACCTTGGCCCAGCGCTGGGGGCTATAAATACCCTCTGTTTCCAGAGGGTCAGATTTTCATCATTCTAACCTCAACTCTATTATCTGCTCGTACTCCCACTGATTTTAGCATCGGAGTGCCTTGCAGGTACCCCCCCCCCCCCTCCTCGTTCAAAAAGCCTTCAGCTCGGAGCAAGCCGTGACGGTCCAAACCTCCTGATCAGGTCAGATCACTTACTAAATGTGAAATTAGTTTGATGTTGAGTTAGCTCTTTGATCGATTTGATATTGATGTAATAAGATTTGAAGGGAGTTGAATGATTTTGAGAGTTAGTGAGTTGAGAGAATTTCATAGTTGAGAGGTTTATAGTTTGAGAGAGTATTTTGAGAAACGAGGAAGGAGAAAGAGTCTGACACATTTTGATTAAATAATGTCTAGAGATGCATTTCCGTAATTCACACGGAGATGCATTTCCATAATTTCTTTCGCATTGCCTTAAAGTCTGACCCATGAATAGATATATTTAGAATGAGTTCGAAGATACATCTTCAAATCCTAAAAGTATTTTTTATTTTTCACAAAGATATGATAGCAATCCTTATAATGCCTTAAATATTTCCCTTAAAAAAATTATTAAGAGGTACACACCATTAAAACAATAAATTTACTTACGTTCTTTAATTAAAATGAAAGTAAGAAAGTGAAGGAAAAAATAGGATAAATTTGAAATTCTAATTAAAAGAGAGAATGAGTGTATGTAATATTAAATTGTAATTTAATTGGTAAAAGTTAAAAAATAAATGCCACATATTATATTGTAATAGAAGATAAAAATGAAAAAACGTAAATAAATTTTGATTACTTAAATGTCCTTTTTTTAGTGTAAAGAATTTGTAGTAAAAGAATAATTTAGAGAGTTCATACAATTAACTTTTAATTGATAGATGCTAGATGTTCATTACATAAAAACCGATCATAACTTTTGTGTACAGTGCTTCTCTCATGTAGATCCTAACTTATTTCACTCCAAAATTTAAAGGATTTTATTCTACTAATTTATGTCTTAAGGGCATACGTTATAATAATAATAATAATAATAATAATAATAATAATAATAATAATAATAATAATAATAATAATTATTATTATTATTATTATTATTATTATTATTATTATTATTTCGGGTTGGACAGAGGTAGAATAATGAAAAGATCTAATCATCCTTCCAAAGTCATAAGATGATTGAAGGCATAATGCACACGCGACTTTCAAACCCCTATTCGATCTACATCATGGACACTCATTTGTCATTGGATATCATTTAATAGTTACTCACATACTACTATGTAAAACAAGGATATATTTAACTGTTCTTCATATATATGAATTTTATCAAAATGACTTGAGGTATGTTTTAACTATAATATACTCTCACGCTACTTTTTACTCGGTAACTAACTTATGCGTTCGAGTGTTAATCTTGCAGGTTATTCCATATATATCCACCGCGTCAAAAGCTTGCTTCACTACATCATGACTTTGGTATACATTTCTGGTTACCATAGAACAATGACACTGACGGTGGGATTCGACCTCTGATTCCTATGAAATCCACGATCACATCTCTCTAATTCAAAAATCATGAACTACTACTAGGGGACAATAGGTTTCATACTCCCTTAGAAGATACACAATATCTGATCTTCAATTTCATTATACTCATCTCAAATATTGAATTGATTAGGGTGTTGAGTGTTAATTATGCAGGTCCATCTCACGGTGCCGTAAAGAAGATCAGAATCACTATCTAAAACCATTATTATCAAACTCTCATCATTTATGACTCCTTGATACTACTTTAATTTGTTCCATAAAAAATGTTTTTTTAATAGCAAAACAAAACTATAACAATAATAAATACAGAACAAGGCACGAGCTATGCCAGGCCAATGTGTTATCACTCCTTACCAAAATCTAACATACTAAAACCTGCAGAAGTATGCAGGAAAAAACAAGAAAAAAGTATATGCATACTCCTTCATACCCTTGAGAACACATGCAACCAAATTAGGTTTCTCTATTTGAATACTTGACAGTAACAACATCATTGTTTCTGGCGAGAAAACAGTAGCAAATTTATTTTGCAAATTAGCATGTATAAACCTGTCCCTTCCTTCTTTCAATCATATCTTAGGATATCTTTCGTCCTTATTTCTCAATTATCTTTGGGATTGACCCCATCCCGACTGATATCACTCAATTCAAGACGAGCCGAGTTTTGTACACTCATTATATGGTACAGAAATATATAAAAGAGAGTATTAATACAGAAAAAGAATAGGTGAAACTAAACTTGCGTAATTGCTGAGACAACTTCAGAAATGGCCTCAAATTTTCTTCTTTCTTTCAGAAGCATCTTAGCAAAATCAAGTGCCTGCTTTTCACACGTTGCCCGTTTAACAGCATCAGTAATTGATTCAAAATCCCCAACATGTGCCACTCCAACAATTCTCCTAATAACAGCCAAATAAACAAAATGGAAAATAAAAGTTTATATCAAACAAAAAAGAGTTCTTTAGACTTGAGTAATTGGTATTGCATATGCCTACCTTATCATTTTCGCAGCGGAAAATCCAAGACTGTCATGAAACAAATCTGTCATGTATTTCTTCTGTACAAGTAGCTGAACCTCAGGATTGTTATAGATTTCTGGAAGATATGCCTCACCAGTTCCATCTCTATGGTTATCCCAAAGTGTAGTGAATTTATAGTAGAAAAGATTCCAAGTATTTTCAATTGTCTTAAGAATCCAAACTTTATATGCCTGCATAAAAACATGTGTATTTCTTGAACTGATCAGTATGATACAATCAGAGTCGTTTCAAATTTTTGCAAACTCTGTGTAGGTTATTGGTAGTTCAACCATGACAAAACAAATAGAGATTCTATTCAACTACAATTTAGCTGTGACAATACTTTAAGAGACCGTATTTAGCCGCAATTTAATTGTGACAAATTTTTGTACATGTGTGATAGTCTCCTCTCAAAGACAACCTTAGATATAATTAAATTGTTGAAAGTAATTATTTGTGTCGAAACAATTTACTCAATAGAAACAAGAGAATTTCGAAAAGATTTGATTTGATTTAAAGTGTGAAAACAGTTTGTTACACACAAATTTGTTTTAGATATAGAATAGATAAGATTTGATTTAGATCTATAATAGATAGATTTGATTTAGTTACAAAATAGGTATTTTATGGACTTTTATAGTTTTGGGGTTTGACTTAGAAAGCAAGCTAACATAAATCTATAAATAGAAGGAGTAACTCCTATTTTTGTAATCAAATCAATTAAATTGTATTCACAGAATTTGCAGTTGCAAGTGAATAAAATTTTCCATAGATTGTGGACTAAGAAACTCTGTAGATAATAATTATCTTCTCATTCTTTCTTTCATTCATATTTTTTCATCGTTATTGTGTGGTGATAACAATCTTGTTCATCAAGATTGATAGAAATTCATCATAGGTTTTGGTGGATTTCCAACATCTGATATCAAGAGCTACAGTTGAGTGATCAAGGGAAGAAGAAGAAAATCAATGACAATGAATTATGCAAGTGGAAATTTTCCATCAAATCTTCTGATTCTTAAAGGTGATAACTATGAGAATTTGTGCAAACAGGTGAAGGTTATATTCTGTTTTCAAGGTCTTTGGGAAGTTGTAAAATATGGATTAGAACCACTTGATGAAGAAGTTTCAGAAAAAGAAGAGGCAGAATACAAAGAATCGAAGAAGAAGAATTATAAAGCTCTCTTTATAATTCACCAATGTATCAGTCCAGACAATTTCGAAAAAGTTAGTGATGTTGAATTTGTAAAAGAAGCCTGAGAGATTCTGAAGAAATCGTTTGGAGACGCTGAGAAGGTGAAATAGGTGAGGTCACAAACTCACAAAAGAACGTATGAATTGCTTCAGATGGAAGATAGTAAAAGCATATCTGATTTCTTAACTAGGGTTAGGAAATTAGTGAATCAAATCAAGACTTGTGGAGAGACGTTAACAACAAGAGCATTTGTTTCTAAGATCTTGAGATCTTTGGCTCCGAAGTTCGATCATGTGGTAGTTGCCATAGAAGAATCGAAGGACATGTAAACTTTGTCGAAGGAAGAGCTTTAAGGGACGCTTGAATCTCATGAACAAAAAATGACTGAAAGAGTTGTAGGCAAGTCGAAGAGTGATGTGGCTCTGCAGACTCAACCAGCAAAAGATAAGAAAGACAAAGGAAAGTGGTTCGACAACAAAGGTACATGTGGCTACAACAATTTGATTGGAAGAGGAAACCAACACGAAGAAAATGAGTCAAATCAGACAAGACCATACCAAGATAACGAAAGAGGTGATGTTGCAAATAAAGGTAGAGGCGGTGGTCGAAAACATGACAAGAGTCACATTCAGTATTACAATTGTCAAAAGTATGGTCACTATTCTAGTGATTGTCCAGAAAAATGAAAGAATCAAGAAAGTGATGCAAAGTATGAAAAAGAAGAGATGTTGTTGATGGTCACAACAAGAGATGAAGAAAAATTCAAGGATAAATGGTACTTGGATTCAAGATGCTCATCACATATATCTAGAAGGAAAGATTGATTTATCAACCTAAAACTCTCAATGAAGAACATGGTAAAATTTGCAAATGACAATACTCTAGCAGTTGAAGGTATTGGAGATGTTTTGATTATGAGGAAAATGGCAAAATGTTAGTAATTTTCAACGTGCTATACATACCAGACATGAAGAGCAACTTGCTGAGTATAGTGTAGTTGGTCAAAAAGAATTACAAAGCGTCGGTCGAAGACAAGATGATGAGAGTCGTCGACGCGAATGGAAGATTAATCTTGAAGGCTCCTATGTCTCAGAATATAACCTTCAAGATCGAACTTAATATGATGGAGCATCAGTGCCTTTCAACTGCAACTAGCAGATATGAATGAATATGACATTATCGACTTGACCATCTCAACTTCAGAGACATAAGAGATTTTAAGAGAAGAAATATGGTTTCAGGATTGCGAGAAATCGATATTCCAAACGAAGTGTGTGAGAAATGTGTGCAAGCGAAGCAGCATAAGAAATACTTCAGCAATGATGCAAGAAGAAGGTCAAAGGCTATTCTCGAAGTCATATACTTTGATGTATGTGGACCAATCCAGGTGAATTTGTTTGGAGGTGACAAATACTTTGTTACATTCATAAATGATTACAGTAAAAAATTATGGACTTACCTGATCAAGAAGAAAAGTGAAGTGATCGAGGTATTTTCCAAGTTTAAGTCTATGGTCGAAAGACAAAGTGGTCGAAAGCTCAAGGTTTTGAAAACTGATGATGGTGGGGAGTATGTGCCGAAAGACTTCGATAAATTATGTGAAAAAATGGATTGTGCATGAGGTGGTTCCATCCTACGCTCCACAGCAGAATGAAACTGTAGAAAGGGAGAATCGAACCATCATGAATATGGTGAGAAGTATGTTGAAAGGCAAAAATTTACCTTAAGAGTTTCGGGGTGAAGTTGTGCCGACTGCAACATACATTTTTAACAGATGTCCAAGTAAGAAGCTAGAAGGAATTACTCCAGAAAAATGTTGGTCTGGTACAAAGCCTAACTTGAGTCATCTGAAGGTATTTGGATCTATTGCACATAGACATGTTTCAGATCAGTTGAGAAGAAAACTTGATGATAAGTCGAGTCAGATGATCCTAGTAGGATATCATTCGACATGAGATTACAAGTTGTTCGACCCAGTTAACAATCAGATTGTGATTAGCAGGGATGTGATCATAGATGAGTTTAAAGAATGAAATTGGACTGAAAACATCAAGAAAGATTCAATGAGAATATTATTTGAAGAACCAAAAACTCAAGTCGAAAGAGAAGTTCGACAAGAGGAAGTTAGACAAGAGGAAGAAGTTAGAGATCAACCAAGTACAAGCAGACCTCAAAGAACAAGACGCATGCCTGCAAGATTGCAATATTGTGTGATTAGATCATATGACGTGGTTGATAACGAAGGTGAGCTGGTATATTATGCTTTCTATACAAATGTGGAACCAGTCAATGTAGCTGAAGCATTGAAAGATTCAAAGTGGGTGAAAGCAAAGAAAAAATAAGTAAATTTCAACGAAGACAATAGTACTTGGTCACTTGTCAAATTTCCCCAAGGCAAGAAGGCAATTGATGTCAAGTGGGTATATAAAGTAAAGATGAATCCCAAAGGGGAAGTAACTCGATACAAAGTAAGGCTCGTGGCAAAAGGATTTCTCCAGAAAGAAGAAATAAACCTCGATGAAGTTTTTACACCTGTTGATAGAATCAAAACAATCAGGTTGGTTGTTGGTCTAATTGAAATAAATAGTTGCCATATATGTTAGATGGACGTGAAGTGTGCATTCTTGAATAGACCCTTAGACAAAGAAGTTTATGTTAAACAATCAGTTGGGTTTGTGAAACATGACGAAGAGAGAACGGTGTACAGACTGCATAAAGCCCTGTATGGATTGAAACAATCCCCAAGAGTTTGAAATAAGAAGATTGATAGTTTCCTAAGGGAGAAGGAATTTGTGAAGTGCACAACTGAACATGGAGTATATGTAGAAGAAGCAAGAGTGAATTTATTATACTATGTCTCTATGTCGATGACTTGTTAATAAGAGGTAGCTGCAAGAAGGAGATCGAAGACTTCAAAGGTGATCTCAGCAAGGAATTCGAAATGTCTGATCTGGGTGAAATTTCATATTTCCTTGACGTCGAATTCTACAAGAGTAGTAGAGGTTTTATGATGCATCAAAGAAGATATGCATGAGAAATTCTCAAGATGTTTGAGATGGAAGAATGCAACTCGACTTCGACATCTGTAAAACTAAGACTGCAACTGTCGAAAGATTCAGAAGAACATGATGTCAACCCAACCCAATACGGAAGACTTATAGGGCCATTAAGATATCTTTGTCACATGAGGCCTAACTTCGCATACAATGTAGATATGGTAAATAGATTCATGCAGAAGCTAAAGGTATCACACCTAGCAGCGGTGAAGAGGATATTGAGGTATCTGAAAGAAACTCTAAATTATGACATTTTGTTTTCTGCAAATGATAAAGGAAAAGAATGCAAGTTAGTGGGATACATTGATTCGAGTTGGTGTAGTGATGCTGAAGGTCGAAAATCTACAGCAGGATATGTGTTTATGTTAGGTGGTGCATCAGTTGTTTGGAGTTCGAGAAAGGAACCAGTAGTGGCATTATCATCATGTGAAGTAGAGTATATAGTTGTTTGTCTTTGTGCATGTCAAGCGACATGGATGGTGAACTTGGTCAAAGAGATTACAGGGAAAAATCATGGAGCAATTACCATGAAGATCGACAGCATGTCAACTATCAACCTGACGAAGAATCCGATAATTCACGGTCGAAACAAACACATCAAAATGAGGTTCCACTATCTTTGAGAACAGGTAGCAGATGGGAAGATGAACTTGGAACACTGCAGAACTGATAATCAGATTGTAGACATCATGACGAAGGGAGTGCAAGTCGAAGTATTCAAAAGACTAATAACTATGATTAATATAGATAGCTTAGACACAATGAATTAGGTGGTGTGTTGAAATTAATTTCTTGTATCGAAGCAGTTTGCTCGACAGAGACAAGGAAATGTCAGAAAGATTTGATTTGATTTAGAAGTGTGGAAACAGTTTGTTACACACCGATTTTTGTAGAACTAGAATATATAAGATTTGATTTAGATCTAAAATAGTTAGATTTGATTTAGTTCCAAAATAGATATTTTGGGCTTTTATAGTTTTGAACTTTTACTTAGGAAGTAAACTAACTTAAATCTATAAATAAAGGGAGTAACCTCTATTTTTGTGATCAAGTCAATTAAGTTGTATTCATAGAATTTGCAGTTGCAAGTGAATAAAGTTTTCCATAAATTGTGGACAGAGAGAAACTCTGCAGAAAATAATTGTTTTTTCATTCTTTCTTTTTTTCATATTTTTTTATTGTTATTATGTGGTGATAACAATCTTATTCATCAAAATAGATAGAAATTCATCATAGATTTTTGTGGATTTCCAACATAAATAACTTAAAAGATGTGTGCGAAAAGATAACTTACTTTTCGATAATTTGTTTGATCAACATGTCCATCTTGAGAAAAGAAAGCCAAAATCAAGTTTCCAAGGAATGCTCCAATATCAAAGCCCATTGGTCCATAAAATGCGAATTCCGGATCAATAATTTGAGTTGATTCGCGAGTAACCATGACAGAACTAGTGTGGAGATCTGCATGTAGTAGTGCCTGAGCCCTCTCACAGAACCTAAAGGAATACAAAGTGTTATAAACATAACATCTGACAATAAAACTAATTCATAAAATGAAGAAAAAAGTTAGACGTACAATACTTTGATTTCAGCTCAGCAATTTCAAGCTTCAGTAAATTGTCTTCCCGAATAGCCTCAGCATCGCGATCAAGATAAGGAGAAGTCCAATGATTATGTTCAGAAAGTTTGTAAGGGTCAGAGAAAATGACCTGCTCAGTTAGCCTGCATAACTCCACGTTCCCGCAAAACTCAGCAACTGCATGAAGCCATCATGAGTTAAATCTAAATAGGTTGAGGTCTTGAGGGTACGAAAAGGGAAAGTTCTTACCATCTCGTTTGTGGTCGTTGGTAGAACGGAAAAGCAAAGACGAAAAGAAGAGTGTTTTTGCGATGAAATCAGACATGTGTTCAGCTAGCAAAGGGTACTCAACACCAGCAACCAATCCATTTCTGAGAACTATATGTGGTGGCTCCAAATAACGCATACCAATCAAAGACATAACACGATCAAAATGATAAACTTCCGGCACATGTTCCGGACACAGTTTACCCTTTTGTTTCAACGCCAGTGACTCAAAATAAGCTCTCTCTTTTGTCATCTTCCATGATTCGCCTATTAAACGGACATATGGAAGTGCCTGTTTGATGATGAAAGAACCATCGGAGTTGGAAACGATGAAGACGAGATTAAGGTTGCCGTCTCCGATTTCTTTGATGGATATGTCTGAGAAATTGTTGTTGAGTTTGGAGGAGAGGGTGGGGATGGTTTTGATGTATTCGATGAGCGTGTTCTCGTTGAGTGGTTTGAATTCACAGAATCTAGCCATAGTATAGTTGGTTTGAATTGGAGGAGAACTCAAAATCAAGATGGAATATTTGTAGTACTACTAAGTTATAACTGTTCTTTAGTGTTGTGTTGCGTTTTAATTACGTGCGTTGATTTTATTCTCCATCCAGAAACTGTTGACACGTGGTATTTAAAAGTTTTAACGGTCAAGATTAAATATGAAAGTATTAGTTAAGAGCACAGGAAAATATTTTAATTTTTCATTGGTGTTAAAACATATTTTTTAGATTCATTAAATAATAAATATATAAATAGATTAAATATATTAGTTATTTAATGAATCTAAAAAGTAATTTGTCTCTTATAAAAAAGAACTGAGTAGTATTTTAAATTGTATTGTTGTCTTGAAATGATGCTTATTTGAAGATGAATGTGTTGTTCTCGTTGCTCTTTAAAGACCAATTGAAATTAATTCCTACTTTGTTAATAAAGAGCGAAAAAGATATGGAATATCAGACACTCGACCTATTCTTGAGTTATAGGTTCGAAAGAATAGAAGGAGAATTATGCTTTCATTAATAGGTTTTATTTTTTGTTAAAAGAATATTTTTATGTTTTAATCTTGACCGTTGAAGCTTTGAATATTTAGAAAATAAAGTGGTAAACTAGATATTTAAGCAAATGGAGTATTTATGGACTCAAAAAGACTCATGAATCACTATCATGATTTCACGGATGTGGATTCTCTAATTTTATCGGAGAAAATGTTATACAACCTACTTACTCAAGTTGTACAAAAAATTGCGATCATAAAGAAGAATTTTGGAGAGAAAGAACATTCTTAATATTCATCATAAAGATTGGTTTACAAGTACAACTTATATATGCAAAACCAATTGACAATTTGCAGGTCTAATAAACTACGTAAAATATCACGATTGTAATAGAAGAATATGAACGATTATGAGTGATCAATCTGTGATCCTACCACCTCAGTTGTATTCTAGTCTCTTCTTTCCACACACATAGTCCTTCATCCAAGCATGTTTAATAATGAGCCTTCTTGATTGGGTTGGCTCCACATTTGTTATTATGTCTCCATCACTTAACTCGTCATTAGTGTTCTCTTGGCCCAACATTGCAGGTCTCATATCATTCATCACACCTTCAAAATTGACCTCATCCTCAAGGTCAAAAGACGGATAAACCTGACGAAACTGCTCTAAGTTCTCCCAAGATGCCTCTTCCAGTGGACAACCAAGTCATTGCACCAAAATCTGAGGGCGTGGACTGTCGTTTATCATGACAATATGAGAATCAATCATTGTCATGGGAGTCTCCACATGCTAGTTTTCATGGTCTACAAGTGGTAAATCACGGGGATAGTTTGTATCAGACTTACAAAAAGGCTTCAGTGCCGAAATATGGAACACTAGATGAATATGACTACCTTCTAGGAGTTGAAGCTTGTAAGCAACCTATCTAATACGCTCGATGACAAGATAAGGACCATAAAACTTATTAGATAACTTGTGATGACGATGTTGGCGCAGAGTGCTTTGGCGATACATTAGTAGTCGAACCAGAACCAAGTCAACCACCTCAAATTGAAAATCACGACAGTGAGCGTTTGCTTTCTGAGTCATACGATGCCGAGCAGCAGTGAGAATGGCTTTAAGGGATTGCAGTAGTTCATTCATATCCACTAGAGATGCATCTAAGGCTTGGATGGTTGTGGATCCATGAGTATATGTCAGAATGGTAAGTGGTGTGTGACCATAGAGAGCTTGAAAAGAGGACATCTTGAGACCATTGTGATAACTGGTATTATAATGGAATTCAGCCCATAGGAGGAAGGAAATCCAAGAGGAATGGATCCGTGGAATTTGATAGCTTGAGCTTGGAGATAATGTCAAAGGTGAGGATGGACACCAATGCCATGATTGAAAAATGAGAGTCTATAATCTCTAGAGGCCATTCATCAGGCCCGAGATAGGGATTCAACAATTTTATCGGATGCGCCGAGTTTATATTTGATGTGAAATTGAAAGCCTAATAGCTTGCGCACATAAATTTAATTCCCTGGAGTTTGAATAACCTACTATAATAATTCTTTAATGCATTTATGATTCGTGTGTATGAAAATGAAATGCCCCAACAAATATTGACGATATTTAAGGACAACCTCGATGATGGCATGTAGTTCTTTTATGTAAACAGAAGCAACCTACAACTTTAAACCCAATTTTTTACTAAAGAAAGCAAGTGGGTGACCCTCCTGCATGAGTACTGCCCCAATGCCTAAGTTAGATGAATCTATTTCAGTTACAAAGTCTTTGTTGAAGTCTGGAAGTCCTAAGTTAGATGCATTCTTCAATTCTGTAAATGCACTAGCTACTGCAACAATCCAAATGAAAGAATCTTGACGCAAAAGGTCTGTCAATGGTGCTGCAATGCTAGTGTGGTGGGATATGAACCATCTGCAATACCTAGTAAGCCTGAGAAATCCTCTTAATTGTCTCACAGGGGTGGGATTATGCCATTTCACCATTGCTTCTAACTTACTCGAGTCAGCATGAACTCACCTAGAAGAGACAATGTGTCCTAGGTAGTCAACATATTCCTGACAAAACAAACATTTGGACAATTTAACATAAAATGAATTAGTGAATAAACACTTTGTGATCAGGTCCATATGAATCACATGATCATCCAGGGAAGAGCTGTAGATCACGATGTCATCACAGAAGACTATGAAAAAACGACGTAAAAGATGAGTGAATAATTGGTTTATAGTGGCTTGAAAGGTGGATGGTGCATTGGTGAGACCATACAACATATGACCAAGAACTCAAAATGGCCCTCACGAGTACAAAATGTTGTTTTCTAAGTATCCTTGGGAAATACTTGGATTTGATGGTAGTCGACGCGAAGGTCTAACTTGCTGAAAACTACTACCCCACCTAATTCATCCAACACCTCATCAATGGCAGAGTTGGGAAACTTATCTTTCATAGTGGCGGCCTTTAACGCTCTATAATTGGCGCAAAACCACAACGAGCCGTCTTTCTTGCATACCAATAAAACCAGGAAAGAGAAAGGGTTGTTGTAACACCCCGATTTAATTAGAGTTATTTTTAATTAATTAATAAGATGATGTGGTGAAATTATGTGATTCGATGAATTTTATGATGTGATGTGATGTCTTGTTGGGGGCTAGATGCCTTAAAATTATAGAAGTTGAGGTTATGAGGGTGTGAGGAATAATATAGAATAATTATTTTTATTACTATATTGTTAGAATAATAATAATTATTTTATAATAATAATTAAATAATTATTTATGGGGTTAATTATATTATTATTAGAATATAATAGAGTGAGAAGTGGAAAAAGGGAATAGTACGTGAAATAGAAGAAGAACAAAGGAGTTAGAAGAGAGAAAAGCACTAGGAAGTTAGGACAAAGATTCACCATAGGGATCAAAACCCAACCAAGAATCTAAGGTAATGGGAGATTATAACTCTATAAGGGTTTTCCTAATGATAGGGTATGGTAGGATTTAGGTTGTATGATTGTATGTTTTGATTTCTCCATAATTGGTTGTTTTGAGTGGTTTTCCCCATTAATGGATTTTTGTGATTTCGATGTGTTTGTGATGAAATTTGATGACATGAATTGGTTAAGATCAATGTACAAATATTGATGAGTAATTAGCCTGCTTAAAATATGATTTTGGGATGTGAAAACTATGAATTTTGGGGATTGGAACATGGGAAGATCGTAACAAGCAATTGCAGGGTTTTTCTTTGTTTATCGCAAGATAACCGGTCACCTAAATCTGGTAACCGGTTACCATATCAAAAATTGAAATAGGAATAGCTACTGTCATGCGGTAACCAGTTCCTATAAGTGGGTGACCGGTTACCGCGAGGGATTTTAAAAAGAAAAAGGTTATTGTCATGCGGTAACCAGTTACCATAATTGGGTAACCGGTTACCACTGCTACTGACAACATTTTTGGAAAACTTCTAAAACTCATAATTTTTGCATCGGGTGTCCGTTTGACGCGTCGTTTGGACCATTGGGGAGATAAAGAAATTTCCTATCTTATAAAATGGTTTATAATGTATTACTTAATTATCTCATCAACTTTGATACCAATCCGTGAGTGTACTTTGAATTGTATGCCATGAATTATATTGCGATTGTTTGCGATGCTTGTTTCGAATGTTTGACATGAAATACATGACGAGAATGATGACGATGGCCTGCATTGGCAAAATTGCGATGAGTAACAAAGATAAATGCGAAGTACGTTATTGCATGATAGAGTCTCATGCATTCATAAGCGAATGTCTGTATTGGTGAGCGAAGGCGTGTATTAGCGAGCGAAGTTGATTGCCCTAATTAGCATTATTGTGAAGAGGGTTTTACCATGTTGGTACCACATGCATCAAGTCCGTGTCGGTCTTTTGAATCATGTTGTGATTGATAATTCGATGGGTGAATGTTGATGAAATTATGTATTATTTTACGATGTGTGATATGTGCTGATTGTGCACTTGAACCGTTACCTGCTTATTATTGTGCTTTCTTTTATATTATTTGATATCTCACCCTTTAAGTTTGAATGTTACCTCTCTGTGGGTAACGTGAATATGATCAGAAGTAGCTAGAGATTGAAGGTTAGCTGAGGAGTTCCTTCAGTTGCGTAGATTGAGTCGGTGTCTGCTCTGATACGTAACACTTGGGGATTTTCGCGTGATTTGTTTTGTTATGTTAGGAGTGAACTTGTATTGCTCCGTTGTTCGAGTTATTTATGATTATGTTGATGTTTGAAAGATGATATTCATTATTTTGATTGAAAATTTGAGATGACTAATTATTGATGTTTTTTCGCTGCGAATATATGTAATGAAGTTTAAGACTTATGAGCTTGCGATTGTGTTGCGTATCTTAATTTTGAGCATGTGTGACTTGCGAAGTATATCACATCCTATTTTGTTGATGTTCATTTAGAAATTAATTTACTCTGAT